TCAAAATACATAATAAATAGCACATTTTATCTCTGAAGCAGACGACTTCTCAAAAATTGTAGACCAGTGTAACTGAAGGATTCAGGATCATCTGCATTTACAGTGATGATGACCATCAGTGACTGGTTACTGGTCTGATCACATGTGGAAATCCCTATGTTTCTAAGCATGAATTGGATTTTGTGGCATATTTGTGAAGCTCTTCCAGCTTGTCAGTTAAAATTTTTCATTTGAGTTTCTCTCAGTGGTAGATTTCATGCTTTAGGCTTGCTGCGCCAGTACCAGTACCTCTGTTTGTTTTCTATTTGCTTCCAGTATCATGAAGAGCAGCTCTCATTGCAAAATGCCATGCAAGGATTCCTGTGTGTTAACAAGATACTCGGGAATCTGGCTCCACTGAGCTTTAACTGCCATCTGGTTATGACCTTACCAACCAGCAGAATCTTCTGAAAGAAGTCATGCCAGTTTTTAATAATGAAACTGGAATACAAGTCAAGGACAGTAACATAGTCTGAGGCAGGAAACACACTAAGGTAGCATTCCCCCTAAAGAACAGAATTAACAGATCATAGAATCATAGAATATCAGAGTTGGAAGGGACCTTAGGAGGTCATCTAGTCCAACCCCCTGCTCAAAGCAGGACCAATCCCCAACTAAATCATCCCAGCCAGGGCTTTGTCAAGCCTGACCATAAAAACCTCTAAGGAAGGAGATTCCACCACTTCCTAGTGAAAAAGTTTTCCCTAATATCCATCCTAAACCTCCCCCACTGCAACTTGAGATCGTTACTCCTTGTTCTGTCATCTGGTACCACTGAGAACAGTCTAAATACATCCTTTTTGGAACCCCCTTTCAGGTAGTTGAAAGCAGCTATCAAATTCCCCCTCATTCTTCTCTTCTGCAGAGTAAATAATCCCAGTTCCCTCAGCCTCTCCTCATAAATCATGTGCTCCAGCCCCCTAATCATTTTTGTTGCCCTCCGCTAGACTCTCTCCAATTTGTCCACATCCTTTCTATAGTGGGGGGACCAGAACTGGACGCAATACTCCAGATGAGGCCGCACCAATGACGAATAGAGGGGAATGATCACGTCCCTCGATCTGCTGGCAATGTCCCTACTTATACAGCCCAAAATGCCGTTAACCTTCTTGGCATGCCCAAGGGGAAACCACAATCTTTCTTTGGACAGTCAGCAACTCTCTGCTTCTGGCTTCCCACTCTTTGGGCTTTTGTGACTCTTCTCCTGTCATTCTCTTCAGCTGTTCCTTTGTCAACTCTTGGGTGGTTCTTCCATCTCTTCTGATGTCAGTCAGTGCCTTCTCAAGGCTGTCTTGCTCCCTTCCTTCTCCCTCTGCTCCTCATCCCTAGATGAACTCCTTTGTTCTCACAGCTCCAGTTACTTATATGTATGCTGAGAAGTCCTTGATTGTCTACTTCCTTTTGCTTGCCCAGTCGACTATGTGGCAACTTTCTTTGGAACAGAAAAACCCTACCAAATTTAAAGACTCCACTGCACACACTTCCCGCCCCGCCCCCACAGGGAGAGGATGAGAGAACAAACAACATGTGACAATGTTAATCATGTTGCTTAATGCACTACTGGAAGGTGTCCCCCTCTGGCTCCCTGCTTTTGACCCTCATCCCTATCTTATCATTTGTTGCCGTCCCCTGGAATTGTTTGAGATCTAGGTCTGGTAGCGCCTCTCCTTAGGTTGGGGGAGGGGCCTTTAGGTGTGGGCAGGCTCATGCACACCTATCCCCAGATGCTCAATAGGTACTGGAAGGTGCTTAGGTACTATGGTGATGAGCGCAGTGCAAGAGCCAACATTGAATAGAATAAATGGCCCACTGCCAACTCAAACTCAACACATCAGAAAGTTTAATGTCTCTCCGTTTCTCCTATAATAAACTAATTGCACTTAACCTTTAGGGAGCACTTTCCATCTTTAGATCACAAAGTGCTTTACAAAGGTGGCTAAGGATCAATATCCCCATTTGATGACTAGGATGATTTCTTTCTCTTTGCCCTTCCATGCGAATTGCAGAATCTTATATTTTACATGTCTCCTACAGATTCCCCGGTTGGTGAAAGTCATCCTGGAGAGTTCTCCTTACTTCAGAGTTATCAGTCCCAATGATGTGGGTCACAAAGTAGCACCGGGCATGGCGTCTACCTTCCGCATCCTCTTCACTCCTGAGGAGAACAAGGTACCATCGCCACCCTTAAAGGGATCAGTGCTTTTTAAACATAGAATATGCACAGAAGGGGCTAGATTTGGGTCAGTAAAACAGGTGTCAATCCAGAGTAACCTTTCTGATTTCAGTGGAGTTACTCTGGACCCAGCCTACTGTGATAGCAGTAGAGCACCCACTACTCCTTGGTGAAGGGATCCTTTAACAGACTGGACATTCCTTTTGCCAGTTGTTCTGTAATCTGCCAACCTATTCTCAGGGCTCTTTTCATCCTTCAGCACCTAAGGGATTTAAGGTGCAACTCAGGGGTTCTCAAACTGGGGGCCATGACCCCTCAGGGGGCACGAGGTTATTACGTGGGGGGTCGTGAGCTGTCAGCCTCCCCCCAACCTCACTTCGCCTCCAGCATTTATAATGGTGTTAAATATTTTAAATTTGGTTAAGTTTTTAATTTAAGGGGGGTCACATTCAGCGGCTTGTTGCGTGAAAGGGGTCACCAATACAAAAGTTTGAGACCGCTGGACTGTAACTCCTATCAGAGAACCCCTTAAGCACCTGTGGGCTGATAGATTATGCACCATACAATCAAACATAGGGCTTTCTGCATGACTGTACATATTCTGACTTACTGAGCCAATTATAAATCCCAACGCCTAAACTTTCAAAAGCAATGAGTGATTTTGGGGGCCCAACACGGGACCCTGGAAAGAGGCCTGATTTCCAGTGGAGGGATGCTCAGCACTTTCTGAAAATCTGGCCACTTTAAGGGATCTCAGGTTGGACACCGAAAAATGGAGACACTCAAGTTCGATAATTCTTTAGGCCTGAGGGTTTTTTTAACCAACCTGTGTATGTCGTGATTGTAGTCCATATGCCGCAGTTTGAGAACCACTGGTTTAGACTAACTGGCTAGGGACAGCGTGGAATTCTGGTATTTGATAGGCCACAGTTGGGATTACATTGCTGCTGTTTATTTCTCCTTTTTCATACGGGATCTGTATGTATGAGTGGGAAGACACATACACGGATGTTCAGTTACACCTGTAGGAATGCAATAGATTAGGGAAACCTATTCTTCATCTCTCCCTCTCCGCATTTTGGCCTGGGGAAAAGGAGATGATTTTTAAAAACTCTGTTTTTAGGCCTTACAGCTATGCCCCCCCTGCAGACATTTGCCTGCTTACATTCCAGTTGTCAATCAGGGAGAGGAAGTGCTGCGTGTCTGGCAGAGAGCCGGCTTGACACAGACAAACTGAGCTCTAGATTTTCTTCATTAAGAAGGCGCTCAGTGTGCTGCAAAGGGTTTAATGGTATTTCCTATCTGAAAGATTCTGTGCAGAAATAAATGGGCCTATACATTCTCCCACTGTCACGTTATCTCTCTCATACACATGTCCCAAACCCAGTGTTTCTCGCATCCTAGGATGTTATAGTGCCAACTGTAAAGAAGTGTCTTTTAATATTGGTTTGGCTGCCTCCTTTAGCCCTGTACCATAATGATACCTAACAGCATCTGTGTCTACCTACTGGCATCTCACCATAGTATCTAGGCTCCTAGACCATTCCTTTGCTGAGAGTGTACAAATAACATTGCTGTGCTAGTAGGGAGTGCTGTGATGCCAACGTTTGCTACTGTGATCTTGAGGCTTGTTGGGGCAGAAGAAGATGTCGCAGCTGGGAAGGGTCAGAAGCTTGGCAGGTTGATTCTTAAAGAAATGCAGAGCACATTTTTTACAGCATCCTAGTGCTAGTGCGGTCCTTCATTTAACCTGTCTTGAGATGGCAAGGTTAGGAATAGCTTTGTACTAGCCAGTGTTGGTGCACTAAGAGAGCTGAGGAGTTTGGTCCTCTCTTTGGACACAGTTGATCTCTTTTCTTGCGTTTGTTGGTAGGTTTTGGTTTCATTGTATTCCTTTTTTGTAATGTTTGGAAATGGAATGGTGTAATAAATGAAAATCCCCATGATCTGTATCCTGTTCCCCAGCAACATGGGCCTGTGAAATAATCAATTTTCCTCTGACAGGACTTAGAAGTTATTGAAAGTCATTAATGTTTGCAATAAAACTATGTTGGTATGGGGGGAAATTTTCAAGCGTGCCGAAGTGACTTAGGCTCCCAAGGCGGTCTCTCAAGTAGAAAGGGCCCATGTTATGTAGGGCTTTATAAATCAAACCCAGAACTTTAAATCCCTACATGGTTCAGCCCGATTCACCAGGTCCTAATGTTACGAATATGAAAAATGGTTCCTTGGAGTGCTATTTTGAAAGTCATATGCATTGTGCTTGCAGTTGTGTGCTTGCAAAGTAACACTGATGCACGCACCTTAGGCTCTGTACTTTGTACGTGCTAATGTATGGCCCACTTGTGCTCCCATGGTTGATCTTATGGGAGCAGGATAGTGCCACTAGAACCCTTTTTTAAATAGGGGAAACTTCTTGATGCTGAAATACTCCAGTAAATTAAATTATGCCACTAGGACAAAACATAGGTACCTGTTTGTTTGTGTGTGTGTGTGTGTGTGTGTATATATATACACACACAGTATATATTCAGTGATTGTCCCTGTAATCCCTCTTCAGGCATATCACTTGTTTCAGCACACACACACACACACACACACATATATGATATGATATGATATGATATGATATGATATGATATGATATGATATGATATGATATGCCTGAAGAGGGATTACAGGGACAAGCACTGAATTATCCCACTTTATGCTAATAAAAGTTCAGTTTCCATAAATTGGACATATGCATCTGTGACTCTTGGTTAAGTGTGGTACTTTAAAAAGCACTAGCCTTTCTCTATTTGAGATCTTTCCTGTTATTATTGGTTACCCGTAATTCTCTTGGCCTGAGTCTGATCTTACATACACTGGTTAACTTTGACTTCAGATGAGTCACTCCTGATTTACAGAGGTATAGCACAAAGCAGGATCAGGGCCTGTGTGTTCTAAAGAAAAGGAATTTGGGCTCTGTCAGTGGCTGGAATGTCATGTGCCATGCGGCTTCTTCCTGAAAAATGAGCATTTTCATATGATCTCTTAGCCCTCTGGTCTGCCACACAACTGGGCAGTCAGTAAATAAATAAATAGCTGATATGTATCTTTGTTTATTGGCATTTGCTTTATAAATATGAAATGCAAATCTTTCCACTTGGCAACAATTCCAATTCGTTCCTCTAATTGCTTCTAATTTACACTGTTGTGTTTTATGGCTCTGTTTGTTTAATGTGGGTGTTCTCGTTCTGTAATGTGTTCCAGGGTGCTCTTGTATTTCTGTCTGACAGGATCTGTCTAATTGGAAACCTTTGCTGAGCTGATGGGCAAATAAACAACGGACAGGAATCTTCACGTTTTACGTGTGTCCTTCCGGATTATTAATAGATTATGATAAAGGAAAATGAAAGGGAAAGCAAGAGGCATATAAAACATTTTACAGCACAGTTTATTCAATCGTCCACTCCTACTCTTTGCACTATAACAATGCCACATTTTTCAGGCAATACCAGCTTAGACGGGAGAGTTTGCAAAATTCATTACTGCCGCCAGTGATGACTGAAGTAATGCTTGTTGATCAATATGAACTATGACAGGACAAAGAGTTACTGAATTAGCAGAATTAATTCCTTTTAAAATTCAGTCCAGCCTGTTAGAGATGTTTTTTAGCATATTGAAGGCATTCCTAATATATCTTCAGGGGCAGGGTTCCTGAAGGAAGCACTTAGGTTCACTTCGAGGAATGTCTTTCTGTAAAATTGAGTTGGGACCAAATGATCGCCTTATCAAGGACAAGGAAAACATAGTCCCTAATTGCAGAGTTAGTTCATTTATGGGAGGGGGATGTCCCCCATACAGCAGAACTGTCATGGGGTATTTATGAGATCTCCAGAGTCTCTGCACTATTTTCCAGTACTCCACAGTCCTGCCTCCATGGAGCTGTGCTCCTCTACATTCTTGCCTGACTTTTAATTACATTGAAGTGGACCTGGTGATGTTCTTTGCAGCTGTCAAGGCTGATTCCCCACTCTGGTGCTTCGAGTGCAGAAGGTGGGGGCCCGCAAAGATTTTAAAAATTAATACTGGCCACTCCAGGCTTGTATTAAACTCCCAAGGTTACAACTTCTCTGACCTTGGATGGACAGATGCTGCCACCATCCAAGTGCAAAAAACACCTTTGAAACCAGGAAGGCGCACTTGGGAACTCCTTCCTGTGGGGTACCCTCAAGCCCTTTCACCCCCCTCTGGGGAAGAGTTGAGAAAGAAAAACAAAGGAAATCAGCTGTTGCCCCCAGCTAATTAAACAACATGCACAAACCTCTTAGGACACAAAAATCCAATCCTGTTCTTAAAAAAGGTAAATTTTATTAAAAACAAAAAGAAAGAAAATACATCTGGAACTTCAGCTTTTGCTAGATTTAAAAAACCCACTTACAAAAACAAAACATAAAGAATAACCTTCTTGAGGTCCAGCTTAAAGGTTACAGGCAAAACAGAAGCATTTGGGGTTAGCACAGAGGAGTCCGCAAGCCAATAAGAAATAAACAGAAATAAACCTAATCACGTCTTTCTAGACATCCTCTAATTTACTTACATATCTGGGGTTTCAGATAAGCAATCTCTAGGTATGATCTGATGGTTTTTCATACCTGGCTTTCAGCTTCTTACAGCATAACTGCTCCCTATTCCCCTCTTTCCCAGAGGACCACAACACACAGACAAAGGGAAGTTTTTTCCCAATTTTAAAAAGTTCTAGCCTTCCCATTGGCTCTTTTGGTCAGGTGCCCACTCCTTTCCTTTACCTGTGGGCTTGTTAACCCTTTACAGGTAAAGCAAGTAGAGAACAACCACCAAGAGGGATTCCACAGCCAACTGGCTGGCTGGGTGTCCACAAAAGGGAGCTACCCCCCCCCCCATTTATCACAGCAGCTATAATCAGGAACATGCAGTATTTGTTCTCAATCATATAGTTAAACTGACAGATGAGAGCCACCTGGCCCATTGG